GATTGGGTAAGACGACATGGCAAATTGGTTCCAGCTATAGGTCCAGATAATTCATCTGTGAGAGTCACAAGCTTTGGCCTGGAACCGGGGATACCAAACCAGTATGCTAAGCTAGACCTATAAAGATGACGTTATTCAAGAGGACGTGTTTAAGTGGAAGGCGCACCATCGCGGAATGGACTGTTAACTAAGGTATAATAAATCAGTATATTTGCCTCTTTATTACATCAAAGTCAGCGTATTCATCGTTTCCTATCTTTCTGAATCAGATTTTCTTTTCATCACCCCTCGTCACATATACCTGAAGCATCCGAAGACCTGACCTCCTCTATGGATAAAAGCTCTTGATATTGAGCTTCACAGCCTCTTCAAATGACTCCCACCCCTCCAACCCCATTCTCTTCAAGTACGCCTCACTACGCTCTAGTGGCGGCTTACTCAAATCCACACCCTTATCCTTCAACTCAATTGGGACCTTCGTTCCCATTGTCTCCTCAAGAATCTTCGCAACCCTGGGCCAAGTATACGTCTCAGCCCACGCAAACACACGCTCTCCCTCGATACCCTTGAGGACTGCCGCCGCGACATGCAACCGCGCCGAATCACGCAAATCCACGAACCACTGCGGGTCCAGCCACCCGAACATTTCCGCATTCTTTCCCTCATACAAGCACCTCACGAATCCCGCCGTACTTGGATACGGCTGCTCATTGGGCGCTAGAACAGGCCCAATGCACGTCGCAGGGATGACGGAATTGAGCGCGAACCCCGCATCTTTGTGATCCCTGATCCACTTCCAGCTCGCCTTCTCCGACGCAATCTTACTCGCAACATACGTGAATAGGGGTCCATGAAGGGCCCCGGCTTCTTTGGGCGAATTTGGTTTCTCTAGCGCCTTCACGACAGCATCGTCGTAGGTATCGTATGTGACTTCCATGGACACATTTGGCTTCGGATAATTGACGGCCCAGCTCGAGCTCGTGATCACCACTCTCTGGATTCTCTCCCCAGCTGTATTGGCCTTCGCAGCCGCTTCTAGCATGTTCAAGTTCGCCTTGATCGAGTTCTGGACCACGGACGAGTCGTCGGAAAGCACGCCCACGGGCAGGTTGAAGGCCGCGGTGTGGATGATGGCCGAGACGCCCTTCAGCGCTGCATCGTAACACCCTGGCGCCGTGATATCGGAGATCTCGACGACTTCAAGATGGGAATTTGGATGGCGAGTTTGATAGAGTGGAATCATCCATGCGCTGCGCGCAAGCGAGCGGACGGTGCCGCGGACGACATAACCGTAGTGGAGGAGCTGGTCGACAATGTGCGAGGCTATGAGGCCGTTGGCTGCCGTGACAAGGACGAGGGAGCCGGCAGATAGGAGTGGGTCTTGAATTGGAGGAACCATGGCCAGGCTGAAGGGTTGTTACTTTGAGAGAGAAGACAGCCACGCAGAATATAAGTAACGAAGAAAAGCGATGTGCTGTAAATGAAGCACAAGGTGTTTATATTCTAAAGCGGGGTCTCGATAAGCTCGCCCTGCTAGTTCTTAAACCTTTGGTTCGGATCCCAACAATCAATGGACGTCTCACAGTTACAAACGTTCCACCGAGCGACGATCGGCACTCCATTGCTGATTACCAATTTTTGCACAATTCCGAGTGTGCATAACTCCGTCTACGTTGAAGAATCGATGGTTGCTCCATAGTACTATTCTGAGTCATGATTGGCTCGTTACCTTGGTCATGCACTTCAACTGCTCGTACCTTATTACCCGGAACAGAGCGCAGCTTGAAGCTGGAAATGCAAGATACAGGTAAATGACGATAGCGCTTTTGCTCATATTGAGTAGCCGTGAAACATACAATGGACTTAGTGGAATGTTTATCTACAGTTACGGTAAGCCACTGAAACAGCTAAAGCATTTAGTGGGGAAATGTCCGAAGTAGAGTTACTGCGTAATAACTCCTATGTTCGTTTCTGACGTAACGCTACCGTGATTCATCTAGCTTGCTAATGGGCATCGAAACAAAAGCTGTAAGAGGTATTAGAAGCGCAGTCGTAGGAAATGAACAGGCCAGCCGAGTTTCAACGCTTGAGAGGTTTGTAAGTTCTGGGTGTAGGCAAAGATTCCCGAGTCCGCTCCTGTTGCGTGGCTTTCCGCAGTCTACCCGGGTCGTTGACTGTTATTGAAATGGAAACTTTGAGGGGAAATCAAGTCCCAGTTTCAGCTCTGGCAAAGTGGTAATGCAACGAGACAGTTAGGAAAATCTTTCAATGAGTTTTTTGCATACAAGATATTACCAGACAGTCTGTTAGCTTCACAAAATCATTGAAACACAAGTTGTTCGAAAGATGATACCCGAAGAAAGGCGGACCAATCTCTTCTATTGTATCCCACTACATACACCGCCTTTGTAAAAAGGATATTATCAAAAAGTAATGTCTTCTCTCCAAAAATCTACAGAGATCTTACGTTTCTAGCAAAAAGTTCCTTCACGTATTGCCCCATTGACAGACATTCTAGTTGTTTACAAAATCACTAGTTTTTCCGTTTTGGCCTAGGTTTATTTTAACTTTACCTCTTCGGGCTGACTTAGAGTGCTAGAACTGGCTGCGGATGTCGGAGATTAGCATAAACGGCACCAAAGATTGATATTAGAGTAAAGTTTATATCGAAATGCTAGAAATAGTACTGGGTCAACAAGATAGAATATCTCTATCATCATTTCCTGTACCAAGCCTGTCTCTTGAATGGATTGCACTTATCATAGATGGCTTCAAACGGGCTGAATCTATCAAAAAAGCGATGATGAGAGAGAACGGAGTGGAAAGTTAGAAAGGCTGCATGGATGTGCATGTGAATTTTAAGTAACACGAGATTTCTGCTCTGCTACTGCACAAAAGGAAACTATATCCCAATAGCTCTGACATATTCGAGTGCCTCATGTCGCATCTCCTGCCACTTCAGCCGCCGTGTTCGTTCACGAAATCTTCCCACCAAGTCTCGCTTATCGCAATTGCATCATCCAACTTGTCCCCCGTGTGTGGATTGTCACTCAAGACTCCCGACTCTGCCACCGTCACCACGTTGCCTATATTCAAGTGCTTTGGAATATCCTCCTTCAGGAACTCTGCGAGGCTTGTGACAGGAATCTCGATGTCGTATGCTTGCGCCAGCTCATCTCGGTCCACTGCATCTTGGGTGTAGTATCCGTGTCTTGCAATGTACATCCACTGGTCCGCCAACAGTTGGCCAGCGTGGGGGAACAGAACCTCGAGCTCTAAGGCGTTCCACTGGCTGTAGGAGACGTGAATGCCAGAGATATTCTTAATCATCTCGCAGATCTCGAAGAAGGACTTGGTGTCGGCGTGGATGGTCAGGCCTTGTACCGGCGGAACATAGAGATATATCCCTAGGACTAAGGCACCTTGGAAATGTGAGTCGAGCTGTTGTGAGTGTCGAGTTGTGTAAACTTACCGATGTCGTCGGCATGGACCCATGGCACGCGGATGTGACCGGGAAGGTGGGTTCCAATGGTGAATGTCCCATCGCCTCTCTATGAACTCATTTAGTATCCCCATTACCCCGTGACCATGTGCTACCAACCCGATGCATATACTTCCACCAATCTTCCATTAAGAGTCCCGGCTGCACGATATATGTCTTGTCGCTGAGTTCCCGGAAGTGCTGTGAAAGGCGCTCCTCCACACCCCACTTGGCGTCGAAATGGTAGACTCCAGTCATTGTACCATTGCTTTCTCGTTTAGCTCCTGGAAGAGAGGTGAGGATGAAGTGCCTCAGCGTTTGCACTCCCGCAGCAGCTCTGATGATATTTATGCCCTGTCGAGTCTCATAATCACCAGCGGTCTCTGCACGATTCCTTCCAGCCACCCAGGCAAGAGTGTCGACGCTATGGTCGGTGAGATGTTCCCAGTAGTCGGTATTGCTGAAGATGATCGTGGCGCCATTGAAAGCCTCGGAGAGCATCTCCTCGTCATCGTAGTCAATTTGTACAATTTCAACATCGAGGTCGGCCCATTCCCGGACGATAACAGGTTTGCAAGACTTGGTCAGACCGCGGATCTTGACGTTCTCCATCTTGAGGAAGGCGCGCGCTACAGAGACACCCTCACGTCTGTTGATGCCAACGACGACTACGAGATCCTGTGTGGTGTCCATTCTGGTAGAAATTAGAGTGCGGTAGCCGCGACGGTTTGCGCGCCGTGTAACGAAAGCCGTGGTGAGTGGTGAACACTAAAACCAGTTTTCTATACTGGTATTTTATTGGATAAAGTAGTGACGATGTTATTTGTGGTGGTAGTGGAGGGTAGAAGGAAGGGTGTAAATATTGGGGGTTTGAGAGAGAAGGTGGAAGACTCCGTTGGAGGCCTCGGTAAATGGTTGAGCGACGATGAGGTCATTAGTGAAAGAGCAAGAAGACTCGGAAATTTATCAGGATGAACGGAAAATGTGACTCCACCACCAATTAAGAGGATGAAATGGCTATATATCTGTCTTATAACCCCACGTACATTTGAGGAGACGTTGATGAAGATGGAAAGGTCGCCCTTACGGAAAGTCAGCGAGTATCTTTGGAAAGTATAGAATTGATAGACTCTTCCTGCTTGTTTGTTTATGAAATTCTATTTAATATGCTTGACGTTGCTTGAAAGCAAACACATTTGTACCTCTTGTCTTTACGCAACTACATCCTTCCCTATGTCTTACTATAAAAAAAGGAATTCACTAAAGTCTGCCTATCCAAGTACTTAGCCACCTACATCTGTGATAGCCCCCGGGAGCTTTGAGTTTCATTGCGAAGAGAGTGCTGTTCAGTTTTGTTGTGTGCGATGTTGGTTGTTTGGTACCATCATGCGGGAGATACATCGCCATCGTCTCGATCTTGACAGGCAACTCCTGCCGGGCTCCCTTCTGCTACGGGCTACATCAATCCTAGTAAAGCCTCTAACCCCCCACTCTAAACAAAACAAAAACAAAAACAAATTGCCTACTCTCGGAATCGAACCGAGGGTCTTCGCATCTCCCTATTTTACAAGTGCGACGCTTTACCACTTAGCCAAGCAGGCAGGTATCTGCTTTTTTTGAATTATGAGTCTTTGCCGTAACAAATATATATACTAGGCTATTTGATATGCACCTGCGTAAGGATTGGTGATCTGAGGAAAAGTGAGTGGGTCTGTGCGGTAGAGTCACTCACACAGGAAAGGCGGTGACGTTAATAGGGACGAGGGGACGCTGATTAGGGTAGGAATGATGTGAGGAAAGCACGGTCAATATTAAAGTACGATCACAACAAATATGCAATTCTCTTAGTTGTGAAGTGGTAATGTGATTCTTAGAACCATTCAGTACGGACAGAGGGCCGACAAGTGGAATGGAAGTGATATCTAAACCCCGACCTGATTCGTATCAAGACCTGCCAAATCAAGACTATTCTTTCAAAGAAAGAGGATAGAACATAGTGCCGAAACCGTGGTCCGTGAGACCGCAAAACCTTGAGCAGAAACGCTCGAGGAATCCAAAACGCCGAAGCAGAAAACCCCAGGCACCATTATTCCCCTAGCCTCTCCTTTCCCTTGTAAGACACCATATCAAGACTCAGCTCCAACGAGACGCTCGGAAGTGTGTGTCCACGCTCTTGCCAAACCAACCTCCAACCCATAACGCCGAGGCGGACTACATGCACCACCTCTCACTCCTTCCTCACCAACTCCACATACCTCTCGAACCCAGTGCAGTACTTGGCGACCATGAAATCGAACTCTTCCTGGCTGGCATCTTTACTCATACGCTTCGGCCATGGCTTTACCAGCGTATGTTCCTCCTTGGTCCTCATCTTCAAGCCCATGTCCGCCACCATAGCCGGGAGTTGCAGCTCGTCCTCGAAGCGCGCCCACGACTGGTCCCAGTCGCGTAGACCGTCAGCACACTGTATGAATTTGTAGACATCGGGATCCCACAGCGGGTTGCCGTAGCTCGGAATTGTCATATAGCGCTGGGGGTTGGCGGCGAAGGTGTCGGCGCGGCGCTGGTCGTCGGTGAGATGGCGATCCATTTCGACGACGGCGCCTTGGAAGAGGAACAGGATGGCGGCGTGCGGGTTCATGGAGAGGGGTTTGAGGAGCGGGGCGAATTCCCAGAGGCAGAGGGCCGGGCCGACGTAGGCAAGGTCGCTGATGTTGGAGACCTATGGGATGTTAGTGAACTGTTGTTTCCATGGAGAAGGGGAAATGCTCTCGGAAATGGGACAAGTGCGGACTTACTTCAATTCTGTCGAACATACCCAACTCCTCGTTCCACCGATTTAGCTTGGTTGGCAAATCTCGAGCATCTAGGGCGTAGAGGCGGAACTTGATCTTGAACGTCTGGACACGGCGACAGAAAGCCAGAAGGAGATCACGTACCATGAAGAACAAGCTACCTAGCATATCTTCCTTGGCCACCTGCGCTCCCCTCAGAACGTCTTCATGGGACCAACCGCAGTGTGGTTCTGCGTCGTCGCGGAACGGCCATTCCGGCAGTGTCTGGAGGAAGGTCGGGTTTGGTGAGGTGAACTCCTTGCGAGAAGTTCCGAAAGGGAGTAGGATGCACTCCCTACGGAACTTCTCGTTACAGGTGCGAAAGGCAGGCCACTGGTTGTATGCCGCTTTTTGCCTGTAGTCAGTACGAGTTGGGTTTCTCATCTGAGTAAGTCGGATGATGTTCACCTCGTTGACCGACATGTCGCTGGGGACAGTAAGGAACGCTTTGAGGCGATTCCATTCTGCCTTGGTGAACACGACACGGAGGCTCTGACCGAGCTCCAGTGTCCAAATTTTGCCTAGAGGGACGTTATCGGACTTGTTCGCGATCTTGGTACATACATCATCGATCAGCGGCAGGATCTTCTCCTGTAGCATAGCGAGAATAGATGGAGGTAGGAAGGCGGAGTACCAGAGATGGATGATAGCGGGAGTGGCGTCTTCAGGCTTCAGGTGGAATGCAATCAAGAGAAAGATAGCGTTGCGAGCCACAATGTCGAAGTCGATATCGTTCATGACGACGCTGCACTGACCGGTATAGCCATCCGGAAGACCAGCAATAGACTTTAGGACGTTGCGGATATCGCCAGATGCTGCGCACAGGATACCGAAGTCTCGATCCACCGCAGCAGTGCCTTCGTTCTTCTTGAGATTGAGTAGATCCACCGCGTCCATGTTACCCCAGAAAAACTTCGGCGGACCGAACGGGAGAGCGGGATCCTGGGAGCCGTCCGCGAACTGGGGGGTGCGCTTCGCCTTGGCCCAATCTGGGATCCAGTTGGACTTCATCATGTCGCAATTGCAGACGCTCTTCTTGTGGACCTCCTCGTGCTCCTTCAGGCACTTCAGCGAGCAATACTGAACCAAGAAGCATGTTGAGCAGGCCACAGAGATGGCTACTTCCTGACATTGGACTCCGTCTTGGATGTTAGCGCAGAGAGGGGGGTTGAGGAACTCGGCCATGTTTCGTTGACAGAAAGAAAACTTGCGGTCGCGGTTGCTTTGTGGTACGTAACAGTTACGACGGCAGTTGAGCGCAGGTGGGTTGAGCGCAGGTGGTCGAGGGCAGGTGGGTTGAGCGTAGGTGGGTGGAGGGCAGGTGGATTGAGCGAAGGTGGGTTGATGGCAGGTAGGTCTTGGGGTCGGGGAGTCTGTGTTGTGGCGGTGAAGACAGAAAGGAAGTGGAGTGGGTGCTTTTATATCCAACGCGCTCAACGCGCTTGGCCACCAGAGTCACGTGTGAAGAGGAAAGGGCTTCACAAGTCCTTTACCGCGGTGAACCCGGTCAACACCGTCCTGCCTACTCATGCGGATACGCCGAAGCAAAGAGTATCGCCTATAAGCAGAACCTAGAGTCCTTACTGGGGTCATATTCGATACCCGACACTGGGATACACAAAACAACATGGACATGGCATACCTTCTTGGGTATATCGAACGAAAATGTACTTGCGCATGAAGAAATGAGGAAACAAGCGAGGAGAGGCACAGAAGCGCAACTAAGTCGTGGAAAGGATTGACGAGTTTACGACGGCAACGGATACCGTATGCCAAACGAGAGTGAGGACAGAACGAGAGGGGAGAGAAATAGGCGCAGAAGAAGAATCAAAGGCCTCGTCTCGGACAGACCACAGGAAAAGAAGTGCAAATCCAGTTGCCACACAGAACAGCTATCAAGTTCCACGGTACAACACAAGGTGGTCTAACAGCGTCAAAAAGTAGCGGCGTAGATATAGTTCTCCGGGTTGAATAAGTAGATAGAGCCACCAAGCTCCTATTGTCTTAGGCTGTCCGATCTACGAGGATATTCGGTGGTGCTGGGTGCTCGGTATAGTCGAACCATGGTGTATGTAGTAATGATGCCCTAGGAGCAATAAAGTGACGCGCCAGGATTCGCATAATAGAAGTATACCATAACAATCCTTATACTAGACCATGCAAGAAAGATGCCATATATCTCTTTCCTTTAGTGTGCCAACGCAAATTTACAGAGAAGGGAAAGGGAGACAGAAAGAGGGCTGATCAGTGAAGAGTAAGCATGCGGATAGGCAGATACAATCGGGCCAAGTAGTAACATCTTGAAATTGTTTGACAGTGAAATGCCTGGAATTCATTTGAAGAATCTATAAGTTCACTTACCCGGGACGCTTCCACAGTTGACCAAAGGACCTAGGCTATCAGGAATCTATTAGCTGCGAAAAGGGATGAACAGATGCGAGAAGATGCGGTGAACTTGACACCTCATATAGCACCGTTAGCAACACCCTTTGCGCCCTCTCCACCAGTCTGCACATCAACCCTGACCTCGACTCCCTTTCCCTTCTTCTCCTCTTCACTCCCCTCCGCCAACAGCTTAAAGCCCCTCGCGAAATCCACCTTCAGATCCTCCCAGCTCTCTACACCGACACTGACTCTGAGCAGCCTCTCATCGACTTCGGTATCCGACATCCGTCTCCATTCGATCAAGCTCTCGACGCCACCCAGACTCGTCGCGTGATGGAAAAGCTGTAACACTGAAGGTAAACTCCGCGCCTGCGCAGATGTATGCGTATAGATGGAAAACACGGGCCCGAAACCATTCGGCATTTGCGGCTTGAGCCAGGACATGTCATTAGTTTGGAGGCTGGCGTGCGTAACCTTGCTCACAACCTTCTTGATGATATCGGCCTCCTTACCTCCTGCTGGTGCGTTCAAAGCGGCGTCGAGCCAGGAAACCAGATTTGTGGCATTCGTGCTCTGGCGCTGGACACGCAACTCCATTGTCCGTAGACTCCTCACACCCAGCCATCCCTCCAGACTCCCGAGTACGGAACCCAGGAAGATGCGCTCTATTCGTAGCGTCCTCGCACGCTTGAGCCCGTCCGAGCTTGAAGCTGTAGCAAGGATGCCACACAGCATATCGCTATGGCCTCCGATGTACTTTGTGCCAGAGTGCATGACCAGGTCGGCACCCCACTGGAACGGGTCCTGGAGTCCGGGCGGTCCAAAGGTTGCATCCACGGTCAACAGCGCGCCTCTTTTATGTGCACGGTCTGCATAATACTGAATAGAGAAGGCCTCGCCGGTGGGGTTGAGCGGCGTCTCAAGGTGCACAATGTCTCCTTTCCCGAGGCCGGCAGCATCCCAGGCGGCGTCGTCGGCGTGCAGGTCTACCGTCTTTACGCCGTGCATCTTCTGGTGCAGGCCAATGACACCATGACACCCGTGATATCCGCCACTGATTGCAATCACCTTGGGCACTACATTGACTAGCAAGGCGTGGAACGCGCTTAGTCCGCTGGAATAGCTGATGACATGGTTGCTCAGGCTCTCGAGTTCCGATTCTCCAGCCGTGGGGTAGATTAAAGGCGTCAATATGGTCTCCAATCGGTTGATGTTTGCGCTTGCGAGCCGCGAGTATACGAGGGGCGTTTGGAGGTCAACGAATTCGCCCTCTGTGGGGACGGGCTTGAGGGCAGATGTGTCGCGTGGGTAACGGAAGGTGGTCGCCGTGTGGATGGGCGGCGCCACGTCTGTGAGGATGTTTATGCGATCGTCGGCATGAA